CTTGAGGCACACGGCATCTTAGCTTCCGAACCAGGGATCGAACCCACAACCCCTGCATTGGAAGGTGAAGTCTTAACCAGTGGACCGCCAGGAGTCCCTCGAAGGTCTTTTTGTTGTTCTTGCTCAGGATCTAAGTCGCACCCGAGACTCTTTGAGACGCCCATGGACTGCAGCACACCAGGCTCGAATATTTTAAAGTCCCCACCATAAGCAGAGAAATTCACCATCGTGTTGATTTCTGATACATGCGAAATGAATTTCTGCCATCTGCCATCACCAAAGGCTACAACTATCTCATCCTCTGTCGTCCCCTTCTCCTCCCGCCTTCAATCTTTCCCAGCATCGGGGTCTTTCCCAATGATTCAGTTTTTCACATCGGGTGAAACACTTCCTTCCCCTTCATCCCCCTTCCTTCCTTCATCTTCCTCCTCCTTCCTTTCATTTCCTTCCCCTTCCTTCCTTTCTTTCAGCTAGAAAGGAGACATTATGAGGCCAAGAACGTGCTCTTTGCACTTGATGGCTGCTCAATAAATTCCCTGCTGGCTCAGTCAGTAAAGAATCCGCCTGCAATGCAGGAGGCCTGGTTCGATCCCTGGGTCTGGAAGATCCCCTGGAGAAGGGACCGGCTCCCCACTCCAGTATTCTTGCCCAGGAAATCTGATGCACAGAGGAGCCTGGTGGGCTACAGCCCATGGGGCTGCAAAACGTCGGACACGACTGAGCAACTAAACCACCACCTAACCAAAGCGTGAGGATTGGAGATAAATGTTGAACAAGCCTGCAATGAACGCTTACAACATTAGGAATTTCTTCTTTGGAGTATGTCCTCGTGGCGGTGCCAGAAGCAGTTCCTGGACATACAAAGTCATCAGAGGCACACACAGACGTCTCTTAACTCCTCACTCGATCTGTGGGATTCCACTCGAGGCTCTGACAAATTATGACAGCAGCTTAGCAGATGTCGCACACAATCGGCACGGATGCAATTCTATACATTGCGTCTCCCAAGGCTCCCTTCCGAGTCGCCTGGTAACAGAAAGTTTCTCAACAAACGTGAGACAAATGTAAACAAATCCTAAAAAAGGAAGTCTCGCTTTCCTAGGGGGAAGGATAGACACTTCTGTGTTTATTCACAGCGGCCAGCAACGCTCCTGCCCCCAGGGGGGCCCTAGGGACTGCCCACCAGGAAAAACCTTTCTCTGGGCTACACAAAAGTTTTCTTTCACACGTCTCTATTTACCCTCATGTTCACAAACAGAGGGACGGCAATTTAACCTTAAGACTGTTTACACATTTGGACCACGCTTTTTCAGCCTATTTCTGTGCAGGTGTTTCCAGAGGGAAGGAATCCTGAATTCAGTGCTGGAAGTCTTCAAGGAGGCAGAGTTTGGTACGTGGAATTTTCATCTGCAAACATCTCTGGGAATCTGAGATCAGTGCTGGGAGGACACTCGGACAGCAGGTGGGAGACTTCCTGGTTAATTTCCGAGGTTACCTGAGCCGTGGGCGTGACCTCCCTGATTGAGGACAGATGAGGTGGTACCTATTTTGTTCTGCTCATCATTTTTTTTATACAAAACATCTAGCAAGAGCTAATCCAAATGGTCAAATGTATATGTAGAAAGAAGGTGTACTTTTCCTGAATAATGCTAGCTAGGGTTGACAGCAGAAATAGGGACCTTAGGCTTGTGTGGGGAGAGGTTTATTTATAACATGTGGCATGCCCCACCTATTTCGTCTTTTTTGTTCGAGGATCAGAATCAAACCATTTGGGTCACCTGCAAGACAGGCCCATCTCACCCGTCTGGGCTGATTCTGAAAGAGTCTGGACCCAGGGACTCACACTTGGATCACCCTCAATGACAGCACGTGGCTCTGTGGAAGCAGGATGTGAGAACTGGTTTCTTTCTTGGATAATCAATTTGCAGATTACATAAAACGTGACGCAAAGTGAATAAAGCTTCAGTATGCGCAGAACCAACGGTTATAGCTCTAACTGTGTCCCCCTGCAACTGCATAGGTTGGTAGTCCCACCCCACGGTAACGGTTCAGAATGTGACGGCGTCTGGAAGAGGGTCCCCGCAGATGTCCTTCGTTAAGACGAGGTGGTGCTGGAATACCGTGAGCCCCCTAATCCAATATGACCGTGTCTGCACGAAAAGGAGAAATCAGTCCAACCGAAGCTGGCAGACAGGCTGGAGCAGACCCCCGTGCGGCAGACAGTCGCGGGAAGAAAGCAAGCCAGCTGGCACCCTGCTTCGGACGGCTGTCCTCCACGGCGCTGGGACGGTGCATTTCTGTTCAAGCCACCCCACCAAGTTACCCCACACCAATTCTGTACACGGATCTGTAACCAGCCTACAAACGCTCTCTCTGTGGTCGGGACCAAGGACGCCAAGCACCCCACCCCCATATATACACACACCGTATTTATATAGCAGCCCACACATGCCCTCCCTATGGTGGGGGCTGAGAAAACACTGTCACCCCACTCCCCATGTATATACACCATATGTATACACCAGCCCATAAATACCCTCTTTATGGTGGGGGCTGGGAACACACAATCACCCCACTCCCCATGTATATACACCATATGTATACACCAGCCCACAAATGCCCTCCCTATGGTGGGGGCTGGGCAAACACAATACCCCACCCTGCATATATATATACACCATGTGTCTACACCAGCCCACAAATGCCCTCTCTATGGTGCAGGGCAAGAACACCCAATCACCCCAGCCCCATATATATACACCATATGTATACACCAGCCCACAAATGCCCTCCCTATGGTGGGGGCTGAGAACACACAATCACCCCACTCCCCATGTATATACACTATATGTATACCCCAGCCCACAAATGCCCTCCCTATGGTGGGGGCTGGGCAAACACAATATCCCACCCTCCATATATATATACACCATATGTCTGCACCAGCCCACAAATGCCCTCTCTATGGTGCAGGGCAAGAACACCCACCCGATCACCCCAGCCCCATATATACACACCATATGTATACACCAGCCCACAAATGCCCTCCCTATGGTGGGGGCTGAGAACACACAATCACCCGAGCCCCATATATATACACCATATGTATATCCCAGCCCACAAACATCCTCTCTAGGGTGCAGGGCAAGAACACCCAAATACCCCACCCTGTATATATATACACACCATACGTATACACCAGCCCATAAATACCCTCTCTATGGTGGGGGCCAAGAGCACCAATCACTCTACCCTCTCTCTATATATGCTGCTGCTGTTGCTAAGTCACTTCAGTTGTGTCCGACTCTGTGCGACCCCATCCCTGTATGTGTATACACCATACATATACACCAGACCACAAAAGCCCTTCCTATGGTGGAGGCTGGGGACATAAAATCACCCCACCTTCATATATATACATCATGTGTATCCACCAGCCCATAAATATCCTCGCTATGCTGGGCACCAAGAATAGCAAACACCCCACCTATCTCTCTCTCTCTGTATATATACACACACACACACACACACCACATTTATATGTTTGCTTGGGTGCTTAGTCACTCAGTCACGTCCAATGCTTTGCAACTCCATGGTCTGCAGCCAGCCAGGCTCTTCTGTCCATGGGATCCTCCAGGCCAGAATCCATGGTTGCCATGCCCTCCTCCAGGAGGTCTTCCTGACCCAGGAATTGAACTCAGGTCCTCTGCATTGCAGGCGGATTCTTTACCAGCTGAGCTACCAGGGCAGTCCCCATATGCATGCACCAGCCCACAGATGCCTTTCCTGTGGTGGGGGCTGAGAACACTCAAATCACCCCAGCCCCCATGAATATACACCACATGTATACACCAGCCCATAAACATCCTCCCTATGGTGGGGGCCAAGGACACTCTATCACCCACCCTATAATATATATACCATACATNCAGCCCACAGATGCCTTTCCTGTGGTGGGGGCTGAGAACACTCAAATCACCCCAGCCCCCATGAATATACACCACATGTATACACCAGCCCATAAACATCCTCCCTATGGTGGGGGCCAAGGACACTCTTATCACCCCACCCTATAATATATATACCATACATATACAGCCGCCTGCAAATGCCTACCCTATACTGGGGGCCGAGGACATGAAATCACCCCACCTCCATATATATACACCATATGTATGTGAAGTGAAAGTCGCTCAGTTGTGCCCAACTCTTTGCAACCCCATGGACTATACAGTCCATGGAATTCTCCAGGCCAGAACACTGGAGTGGGTAGTCTTTCCCTTCTCCAGGGGATCTTCCCCACCCAGATCTCCTGTATAGCAGGTGGATTCTTTACCAGCTAAGCCACCAGGAAAGCCCATATGTATACACCAGCCCATAAATACCTTCCCTATGATGGGTGCCAAGAACACCAATCACCCCACTCCCATACACACACACCATATTTATATATCAGCCCACAAATGCCTACCCTACGGTGGGGGCTGAGAACACCCAATCACTCCACCTCCCCATGTATATACACCATATGTATACACCAGCCCATAAATACGCTCCCCTGTGGTCGGGGCCAAGAACACCAACCGCCCCACCCCCATATAGATGCACCATAAGTATACACCAGACCACAAATGCCCTCCCGAGGGTGGGGACCCAGAACACCAAATCCTCCCCGCCCCTCACCACATCTACCACAACTGCTCTTGATCTTAATGGGCTTCCCTTGTGGCTCAGCTGGTAAAGAATTTGCCTGCAGTGCGGGATGCCTGGGTTGTATCCCTGGGTGGGGAAGATCCCCCGGAGAAGGGAAAGGCCACCCACTCCAGTATTCCTGCCTGGAGAATCCCAATCCCTTGTGGCTCAGCTGGTAAAGAATTTGCCTGCAGTGCGGGATGCCTGGGTTGTATCCCTGGGTGGGGAAGATCCCCCTGAGAAGGGAAAGGCCACCCACTCCAGTATTCCTGCCTGGAGAATCCCATGGACAGAGGAGTCTGGTCGGCTATAGGTCTTTGGGTTATGAAGACTCAGGACTGAGTGATTAACAGTTGACTTCACTTTATTAGATTCCCGCTCCAGTATTCCGGCCTGGAGAATCCCACGGACTGGATAATCCACGGGGTCGCAAAGAGTCGGACACGACTGAGTGACTTTCACTTTCCCTTCACTTGGTCTTCATTCATTCATTCATTCATTCAGGTGAACAGAAATGTCCGCAGAAACGAGAGCATGTTCCCTCATCCCGCCGCAGGAGCAGCACGGGCCCAGGCCCTTCGGTCCTCTGAATAAGTGCATCCCGAGCTCTCTCTTCTCTATAGCCCGCGTTTGCCGTCCGTGGTTGCTGGCCCCTGCACATGGCGCGTTGGAAGAAGGCGTTTCTTCCCCCACCCCGCTCCGGGCAGGACACCAGCTTCTTACCTGACTCCTGGAGATATCGGTACACCAGGAAGTTCACCTCGTCACTGGTAATGCTCATCTTAGCCTCACCTGGCGGCGATGAGGTCTTTACGAAGCAGCAGCCACCACCCTCTGTCGGAAAAGGCGAGAGGAGAAAGCGGAGATGTTTCAGACACTGCCTACATGTTCCTCCTACATGTTTCTTTAGGAAAACAATTGACACATGTAATACTCAGGAGGTAACTAATGCCCGATTCCTGTCGTATGTTCTGGTGACATAAAGGCTTTATAATTCTCTAAACATATACACATACAGGTGAAAATTTCCCCCTGTATTTCCTGGTGACAAAGTTTTTATAATTACCTAAACATATACACATACAGATGAAAATTTTCCTCTGTATTTTCTGGTGACATAAAGATTTTACAATTCTCTATTTTTTTTTCATTTATTTTTATTAGTTGGAGGCTAATTACTTTACAATATTGTAGTGTTTTTTGTCATACTCAATTCTCTAAACATATACACATACAGGTGAAAATTTTCCCCTGTATTTCCTGGTGACATAAAGCTTTTATAATTATCTAAACATAATAAACATACAGGTGAAAAATTTCCTCTGTATTTCCTGGTGACATAAAGCTTTTATAATTACGTAAACATATAAACATACAGGTGAAAAGTTTCCCCCTAAATATGAATTGATGCATTTTATAATGCTGGCACAGACTCATCTATAAACCACATTAACCACATTAACGGAGACAAAACCAGGGGCACCAGAAAATGAGCACAAACACTGTGACTTGATTTACTGAAGATCCCGCGTGCGATAGGATCACACAGCAGTTCGTACCAAGCTTCAGCGGAACCCAGGACAGACGGTGGCTGGTTGCACCGGCTGGCCCTTCCCTGGACAGACGAGGGAGATTACCGGGGGTACCCCCGCGGTCCTGCCAACACCACCAGGTGGGGGGACCACGTGGCCCCGGTCACACCTGTGGGTCTGCAGCAGAGGTGAGTCACAGCAACCTCCCACGCATCGAAGTTCCGTGCCGAACCTCACGGTCACCAAACCGACAGGGTGCATGTGGCCCCGAGACACACATCACCGAGGCGCTGCGTCATCGACACAATGACGTGACTTCTATTAAGAGGCAGGGAGTCAGCAAGCCGCCCCACGGACACAGAGCGAACCGACAGCGTTCGATTCCGCAGCAGACTGGGGAGACCACGGCATCTTCAAGGATGGACCGAGCGCTCCCCGGGACCCAGGGGCAGGAAGCTCGCCCTCTGCGCCTGCCCCGTGGACGGTAAGGTGGTAGGTGTCGGCCTGTGTAGTCGGCCAAGCAGGATTCTTTCGGAGCTCAGAACGCTTGTGCGTGCTAAGTCGCTTCAGTTGTGTCTGACTCTGCGACCCCCATGGACTACGTGTAGCCCTGCCAGGCTCCTCTCCAGGCTCCTCCGTCCCTGGGATTCTCCAGGCAAGGATACTGGAGTGGGTTGCCAGGCCCTCCTCCAGGGAAACGCTTATGCTGGCTGCAACGAAGTTAGGGGAATGCCAGCGATGGTTCGGATCTCCAAGGACTGATCGATTGGCCGGAGTTAAGGGGAATCAAGTCCTGAGGGAGCCGAGGAAAACAGAGAACGTGGGACTCGGGGTGCGGGGGGCGCCTGAGGCTGAGCCAGGAAGCCCGATGCTGACTGCACCTTCATCCCTACGGAGATGTGGACCAGAGGACTCAGTTTTCCACCTCTGCCAAAGTGCGGATGCTAAGACCCGCTGCTCCCCACCAGGAAGGTAGTGAGGATGATGTGCTTCTACACACACTTCCAGACCAGGGCCCCAAGCTCCGGAGAGGCGCAGAAGGGCTCTAAAGGGCTCTTAATCCTACTCTGCCCCCCCACCCCGCCGCAAGCATCATCAAAGCAGAGAGACCACCTTCCCCCTCCCCGAGGAACACGCCTCCAAAAACAACAACAAAAATGGGTTCTTCATTAGTGACATGGTGTTTGTTTTCGTGCCTGACCCATTTTTGAGTGCTCCGTCATGCCCGACTCTTTGTGACCCCCGTGGACTGTGGCCTGCCAGGCTCCTCTGTCCATGGGATTTCCCAGGCAAGGATATCAGAGTGGGTTACCATTCCCTTCTCCAGAGTTTTCATCGGAGGCACCTCTCATTAGGTACATCTGTGGTCTTTGCAGTTGTGACTGTGCAGAAAGGAAACGACCATCTTCACTGCAAAGTAAAAACCACACATTCCCTCACTGTTCTGGTTTCAGAAGAAGAAAAATATCTGTGTGAGCCGATGACACATCTGGAGTCTTCCTGCTTAACATGAGTATTCCAACATAAATAACCACTGGGGGCTGAAATCCATCAGGAAGCTGAAGGGAAGATTATTTACGGCATTTTTCTTTTTTTAATAACTTAATTTCCAGGTGGCAAAAAACTCTTAATAACCACGGTCACAAAACAGTTCAAAATTCAGCTGCAAGAGAAGTCGTGTCTATGATGTTATACTTAAAACGGAGAACCAACAGGACCTGCTGGACAGCACAGGGAACTCTGCTCAATACTCTGTAATAACCTTATGGTCACCAGGGGGAAGGATGGGGGAAGGGATAGTCAGGGAGTCTGGGATGGACATGGACACACGGCTGTATTTAACAGGGAGAACCAGCAAGGACCTGCTGGCCAGCACAGGGAACTCTGCTCGATGTCACGTGGCAGCCTGGACGGGACGGGAGTTTGGGGGAGAAGGGATATATTTAATGTACGGCTGAGTCCCTCTGCCTTCCACCAGAAACTATCGCAATGATGTTAATCGGCTGCACCCCAATACCAAATAAAAAGTTAAAAAATAGATGAAGTTTTCTTAAAAAACAGAGAGAGTGGGAAATGGTGTCTAAGGGTTTGGCTCTTACTGCGTGTACAGTATTTAACATGCTCTCATGATCCGGGAAGGGACAGGACCGCTCCCCAAACAACAAAATCTGAACTGCTCTCTGATGATCTTCAAGGATGTGATGACCATGGAGCCACCTAAGCGCCGGCTCTGCGAGATGAAGACAGAAAGGGTGAGTGAGTTTCCCTGCCCACGGGCGGGGAGCCTGCTTCGGAAACAGTGATGGAAGAAGCACACAGTGACTCTGGGGCAGGGAGCGTGGTGCTCAGCGTGATATCATTCTTGGCGGAAGTTTCTCTCTTAGCAATCGGTGCCGTTAGGACGCGGTCTCTGAACATCCTTTCCTGCAGCCCCTTCCGTGGTTCTCCAGGGATGGAAGAAAAAGTCGCTCTGAGGTCTTGACTCTGCTAGGACTCTGCTGGCCTGGACGCTGGAAGAATGCATCGCGTAAAGTGATTTTCTGGATGAGGCTCAGGGCTCTGGGACTTGATTCCACACAGAGGGTGCAGAGCCAGAGCTGCTGGAAAACCTGCTATAAATGACCTCATTGCAGCAAGGCGCTTTCACAAATTCTCTGCTGACTGCAATGCAGTAGGGTCTCACCTCCTGGCTTCCCTTTTCCATAACATTGGGGGTGATTTAGCCCATCAGTCGCCTCCATCTCTATGCGACCCCATGGACTGTAGCCTGCCAGGCTCCTCTGACCATGGGCTTCTCCAAGCAAGAATACTGGGGTGGGTTGCCATTTCATCCTCCAGGGGATCTTCCCGACTCAGAGATTGAACCTGGGTCTCTTGCACTGCAGATGGGATTGTTTACTGACTGACCCACCAGGGAAGCCCATTAACATTGCTCTCTCTTTTCAAATGGAAACTGTGTTTCCCAGTGGCCAGTTATGAGATGAGAAGTTTAACATGTGCATCAACATTTACATATAAATCCTTTTGTACACACTGCTGGAGACTAAGGTGAAGAGGAAGCAAGCCTTTTTCATCACGTTGCACACCCGCTCTGCTTGCATTAACTGAAACGAAGCTGCCAAGGAACGGCTGAAAAACTACCGCAAACATTTTTTGTTGTCCAATGATAGTAATGAGTACGATTCAATACACCATGGCGTTTATAGCTGGACTTCAGTTATTGCAGAATATATACACAGAATAGTTTGGACAGGGAACAAGAAAATATCAACAGTGGTTTCCCCTTCTTTTCTTCCCCCATAGACTCATCTTCATTTTACTAATTTATTCGATAGTAAGAAAATGAGTCCCCCCAAAGGTAAGATTTTTCACTAATTTTATAGTTGTATTTATTTACTTGGGAGCCAAATGGTCCAAAATTATAAACATAATCAAAGAACTATTATTTCCTCACCAGAGTTCACATGTCCAGCAGTGGCACGCGTGCATGCTCACTTGTTTCAGTCGTGCCAGACTCTTTGCAACCCTACAGACCTTCGCCCGCCAGGTTCCTCTGTCCATGGGATTCTCCAGGCGAGAATGCTGGAGTGGGTGGCTCTGTTCTCCTCCAGGGGATCTTCCCAACCCAGGGACTGAAACCACGTCTCTGATGTCTCCTGCATTGGCAGGCGGGTTCTTAACCACTAGCACCACCATTTACATGAGAGAATGAAGTAACCTGGTAAGATTGCAGCCCTCAAAAGGATTTTCATGACCGAGGACGATGTCCACGATACAGTGCTATGTGAAAAAAAAAAAAGGAGGCTTCACATGGAATGGCTAAGTTTCATTTTGTACACACGCACAAGGTCTCCCCCGGTGGCTCAGTGGGTAAGCAATCTGCCTGCAATGCAGGAGACCCAGGTTCGATCCCTGGGTGGGGAAGATCCCCTGGAGGAAGAAATGGCAATCCACTCCAGTATTTTGCCTGGAGAATCCCATGGACAGAGAGCCCTGGTTGGGGGTACAGTCCATGGGGTTGCCAAGAGTCAGACATGGCTTAGCAACTAAACCACACAAACCACACATGCACAAATAAAAGATACCCTCTAAAATATAAACAGTAAAATAAAATACACCGGTCTCTCCAGGGCTAGGAAGGATCTTGCCGGACTTAAATCCATGTACGTGTGCGTGCCTTTTCAGTATTTTCCAAATTTCCTCCTACGAACGCGAACTGCAGTCACATTCATTAGGATGTAATTAAAATCTGGCAGCGTCTTCAGAAATCAGTACGAGAACAACCCAGCTAAGGAGGGAAGA